TTTCAAACTGTCATGGTGCAACGATAGCAATTCGTGTAGGGTGGTGGGTGTGGGTGGTTTTGTGGGTGTGGGGTGTGGGTGTGGGGTGTGGGTGTGAGTGTGGGTGTGAGCGTGGGTGTGGGTGGGTGTGGGTGTGGATGGGGTGTTATTTTCTTTTAAGTCACACCCAACACCCACACCCACACCCACACCCACACCCACCCACCAGTGGCGGATTTAGGGGGGGGGCGCTTGGGGCGATCGCCCCCATTCGAAACAAAAATTTTTGGATTTTCCCAGCAGAAAAGTCTTAAAAATTGAGTGCATTCTACTACTAATAGACTTCAAAACTTGCTTTTTGATCAAAATCGCCCCATGTCTATCGAATCGCCCCTTATCAAAAAAATCCTAGATCCGCCGCTGCCACCCACCCACACCCCACACCCTCACACCCACCCACACCCACACCCACCCCACCCCACACCCACCCACACCCTAAAAATCTGTATAGTGAACGGGAAGGAATTTCTAACCCTGTGTTTTGGTTAACGAAGCCCGATAGACTGGATTCAAACGTTTTTTGAGTTTGGGAGGTAGAATGTGACGACTTGGAATAGGAAAGAAACGCTTTCATGAGGGGGCCGATTTGTGCGCTTAACGCCGCCTTCCCCCGCCTTTGTAGAGTTCGCTAGTGTTTTCAGTAGACTTCGGTATTTCATTTAAGAAGAAATAGAGTTCATTCTATGAATACTTACAGAACTTCAATCTGTTCAGTTCCTATAGTTAGAATACGCTTAAGTACTTAGCGTTATTCTTTTTATTCTTAATTAACTCTCATACTTAGAGTTTCTTGGACCAAATCGTCAATATGAATGATTTAAGCCTATTTTTTGATTGGAATTGATTCAGTTCGTATTTTAACATAAAATCAATATTTTATTGAAAAACGAGTTATTTGGAATCCACGAATTACTGTGTTCAACAGGAAACTCGTGGAAAAATTGAAACAGTAGAAGATTTATGTTTTAATGTTCGACTTATCGCCAAACAAACTCTCGTGGACAGCAACTTATCCAAATATATTTGAATGATATTCCTGAAGTATGAAAAAATTCATTCCATATCTGTCTTCATGAATGTCTTCATTTATTTTGACACAAGGGTGTGGGTATGAATATCAGTGGCAGAAAAAGACACTCACCCACACCCTACACCCACAGCCCACATCCACTCATACCCACACCCCACACCCACACCCACACCCACACCCCTATTCGCTATTTTCGACTAGTGATTTTTCTTAGTAAGATTGCTCTTCAGCTGCGAATGTACGTGTGAGTCTTCTTTACAGTTCCAAATATACTGGTAGATGATATAGCGAAAGCTAGGAAAAGAATGCTAACTTGAACACATCATATCTCTAGTGATATGTGCACGGTGAAGGAAAGGAATGTGCGGTGAGTGTGAGTCAGTATGAGTCTTCTCTTAACCCGTACCATATCAACATCCACATCTACACTCTTTTGAGATGTATCATTTTAAAAAATGTAGTTTCTTTTTTTTTAGAAAGACACATATCGCAGTTATTTCATTTCATTGCATGATAGAAGGATGATGTAGTTCGAATCATTGAAAAACGAGCTATTGTTTCATTTTTTTGAATGCTTCTATGCCATTCATTTTTTTCATGCCTGTCATGATTTCAACTCTTGCTATCACACTTTGTTCTCCATTCATTTTGAGACCTCTTTCGTTATTTTTTAATCTACACTCTGAAAGACACTTGAAAAAAAGATGCGTTTTATATTTTTCGAGAAAGCTCGCACTGAAAAAGTGTTTTGCAGTGCGTTTCATCCAGCTGAATTCATGAGAATCAAAACGTGTGATAAATATGCTTTAAGATCGAAAAACAAATCAACAATGCATACGATATAGTAGTGTAATTTATTGATTGAGGTAGCATATGTTCGTTTGATAAGATATTCATGATCATGTGAAAATAAAAGACTGAGAGACATTCGACATATTGTAGAAAAAAAAATAATGCGTACAGCTACCAATCTTCTTCTTACATTCTTGCTAGCATTATCGATCGCTGGTATTGAATTGAAGAGTGACGAGGAAAATTTCAATGACCATTTGATATCCAGCCGTGGATTTATCGACTGCGCAATCTGGCATTCCTTACAAGGTGATCCTAACACGCTCTTAGCTAAGACGGCGAAGCCACCAGGTCATGTCCAACATCATTTCCACGGACGTTGCCTGGTGGATGGTCGGTGGATAGTGCCTGTGATTCTGAGAAGCAGCAAAAAACACATGCTCATTACTTGTTGGTGCTTACTGCTGTTACCGAAATGCATTAAAAAGTACGGGACCCAGGGCATAAGCATGTTATGATCAGTTCGGTCAATGGATTTCAGATCCATGGCATGGTGCTGGTACAGTTGATAAAGAAACTCCATTGGGTTCCATCATTCAACAAGGAAAACACGTTTTTGCTGATGTTCTTCCATATTATAGTTGCTGCAAGACCCTCTTTGCGCCGCAACCCGAAACTTGCAATCGCTATTACGAGAAACGACCTCCAGGACAATGTGAAGATTAGCCAATGATTTAGAGTTTTTGATGAATAACTTCATTCGTCCATTTTTAAAATAAACTATTCAAGCTTTTCTATCTCACGAATCGAAAATAAGATGTCAAAGGTCATTTTTCGAATTTTCAATCAAAAGATTGAGTGATTTCAAAGGACTAAATATGTCTTTTTTTTAAGTAATATGTTGGAATGTGAGTGTCTATCATGGGAAAGAAAGTCACGACGTGTTTCAACCTTATTGAAGAGTCTCGTCAGGTGGTTTCATTTCAACAATTAAAAGTAGCCAATTATTTATGAGAAATATATTATCCAGAAAAAATGAAGACGGTTTTTTTTGAGTATTCCAGTATCATAGGTATTTTGTCTGATAGATATTGTTTTATTCGGAATTTTTGTAATGATACTTTTCTATCAGAAATACAATGTTCAAGATGTATGTTTATTCAACGGAAAGAACATTTTATGATGTATTTTATCAGTAGATATAGTTGCAAATGTTGAAGATTATGTGTCATTGGTTGGTCCTGAAGATTGCTCTTGTGAACTAGAAAGATTGTATATTATTCCAAGTTTTAAGAATTAGTGATACAATACCTTGTTCTACTTTCATGAGTAAATCAGTAGGTTTCTTATGAACAAGTAGAGAATTTACGGAACGATTATTGTAATGATCAATTATAACTCTTAGATTCATTGCAAGAGTTTCACTAAATATTTGATTTCATAATGAATAGAATTCTTTTTCAAATTGTTTTATTCCATTCTCATGAGTATAATATAATATGAGTATTTTTTCCATTATTGTTTATCTCGATTTTGTACATTTGTAGTTTGATTTTGTTTCCGATTAACTGCCATTGATATTTTTCAATAATTAACAATTGACTTCTTGATATAGAGTATGGCGTGGACGTAGTGAGTGCAGAGAAGATCTACGCCATCATCCAAGTCCTGCCCCACCTCCACACACCCATTGATACAGCACTCAAATAGACGAGAATGAAATATTTCAGCACTTATAAAATAGATTCACAGCTCATATAAAATATAAAATCAATGTAACACTAGTTGACATGATCACATCCAGAGATTTAGTGCGAGTAACTAGCGACTATTTACTTAACTTCAATGAAGTATTTCAAATTAAACTGAAATTATTAAAAATTATCAATAATATCTAATTAATAGGATCTATTGATTGTCGAAAATGAATCTTGTTTTAATTTTCTTCTATGAAGATATTTGCAAGCAACTGATTCAAGTCCTGATAGTGTGACTACTAATATGAGTAGCATGATATATCTCTTGCGTGGGTGTAGGTATTCACTATCTAGACATCAACATCCTGATCGAGGCAAAGGAAGTCAATGAGAGAATGAGATCTATGAAGATTTGCAAAAAAAGACACCCACGATACCAGATTTTCCTAAGGAATTGTTGGCGAATGTAAGAAAGATGTTTCGATCTTTGCTAGTAGATAAAAAATTATTGAAGAATATAAGTCCACCTTTGTTTCTCCGGAGTTTGTTATATCAATCTCGTAAAAGACTTTATAAAAAAATCATGTGTTCATATTACATCAACAACAGTTCAATGTGTGTTTTCTCCAAGTAATCTTTTATTGAGATCATATTCGTTCAAGTTTTACAGAAGTTAATATTTGCATTTTAACGATGTTGAAATATAATAAGACATCAACTTATATGTTAATCAATTTTTTTTTCTTGCAAAAAAACTTTGATTTGAAATTTCTGTTGATAAAAACTGATGTTTTATTGTCTTATAGAATCGTATGAAAGATAAGAATTGATTTTACTGCTCTAAGTTTACTAAAAAAAGGCTATAGTAGTTGTGCGATTTTATTTTATGTAAGACTGGTTTTTTCTTGTAGAAAATCTACGAACAAGATGTTGCAACCTAGAAAACTTGTTGTTAACGTTTTCTTATCAGAATAAATAGAATAAATAGAATACATAAAGATAACAAAAATAACTTGATTCAAAGGGTAGATTGCCTGGTCCATTTTCATCCAGTGATACTATTTTTCAATGATAATCATCATCAAACATAGTATAGTTTGAAGAAATGATATTCTTCACTTTTTAAATTAAATTATATTAACATTGTCGATATCGAATATGATTCAATTTTTATTTTGATTTCGTTTTAAATTTCAGAAATACATCAAAAACTGTTTTTCCTTTCATATATCCCAAGTGATTATTATTCAAAGTTCATTAAAAAAAACTTTTTGAAACCATCTATGTTTCTCATTAGAATCACATTTATGCACTGAAGAAAAAAAGATAGATATCCAACTAGCCTCCGGTTTATTTTATGAAAACATCAAGATTATTTAAAAAAAAATGATAATTATATATATACATCAACGAAAAGTTTCGTGTGTATTATTTGTTTGATTTTAATGAGAAGCACGATTTAATTGTCGATTAAGACTATGCAATTGAGGACTATCAACATAGCTATCACATGCATAGCAAAAAACGGAATTATCTGAGAAACTAAAACAAATATTATGTCCAGTTGTTTGATGATGATTCAACATGTGTTTTTGCTGGTAACGAGAACAACCAATCTAATTGAAACAACAAAAAAATATATATTTCAATTATTAACAAATGACTTACATAGTTACAAGTTTCATGTAGACAAGCCCAGTTCTCTTCTGTTTTATTACAATCAACACAGGGTGGTTGTTGATCACCAGTATGTTGAGTCGATTGAAGGAATAAATAAGCATTATCACCCAAATGAGGACAATCATACTTGGGTACGATAGCAAATGGCTTTAAAAGAAAAATTAAAATTTCTATTCGATTTAATCAATTTAGAATATTCTCACTTACACCTCTTCGATTTTCGTCATTGATTTGTTCAGATGATGCAGCTTGATTTGATTCACGCATTCTTGCTTTCAACAGTTGACTACGATAATATGTGATCAAAGATGAATGAAAATTGTGCTCTTAATATACTCGCTGGAATTGATTACTTGAGTATGGTGAAAGATCGAGACACGGAGAAAGGAAAATGGTGTAATTTTTTGTCGTTGTTGGCTTACTCATTCGTAACCCTTTTTGACGTCACTTTTTTTTCTATTCTACTCATAACACACAAGAGAACACAAAAAGAAAAAAAGGAAGACGTGTCACATAAGTAACAAAACATGGAGGTATACTATATATGGTAGTTTAATGCTGTTAATGACTAACCTATATATTAGAGAAATTACGTAATTAAAGTAAGCATCTAATTCGATCTATTTTTATTCCGATATACTTTCTAACTTATACTGTATTACGTTTTCAATATTAAGCGACATGATTCGAAAGTTGAATCACGGTATTTATTGCCTCTTACTATTGAAATAAATGATTAATAGATAATATGTCAGACTTCTAATAAAAAAAAGTGTGAAAATTTCATAAACGAATTTTTCTTTTTGAAATAGAACAGCTGATATACATTTTTTTTTCTTCACTTACTCATGATTAATCATATGCGATTCAATTCTTGACTCATACCCACATCCTCTGAAAAAATTCATTAAAAAAATGCAATATAGGACCATAAAGTAGACATAGAAACTGAAGTGACGTCATTTTTTTTTTATTGAAACTATTATCATAGCAAAACTTCCACTTCTTCCTACTGAATCATTCCAAATCTCGTACGTTTTTCTCTTAAATATTCTAAAAATAGCGTTTGGATGCAAATTTTTTCTGATTTGTAAACTTTCTAGAAAATGAAAAGATCTTAGCTGTGTACTATTTTTCTTTTGAATTGGATTGATTTCATTGATATCATGTATTTTTATCTAAGCATCTTCTCGTCTATCTTAGCAGTTTGAACCAAAGTTTTTTTTTCAAAAATTGCACACCGTCATCGACCATCGATGATATTATTTTTTACTAAATATTTATCATGCTCTAGCAAAGAACAATTACGAAAGGGAATAAACGAAATTTTCTCTTCATTCTCATGCACATGTACAAGTCCATCCTCATTCACTCGCTTCCTTGAAATAAAATTTGTGGTAAACTATTAAATTCGTCAGAGACCACAATACATGATAGAGCATGCACTAAATGATGGTCGAAATAACAATGTTTTCGAGTTTAATGATCAAGATCTGAGTTGATGTTACTATGTTTTATGACGACTGTCATCCAAACTAGATCCGCTTATGATTGAGAAAGTACCAAGTTGATGGATGATGTAATAATCTTTTTCTTAGACATTTGTCTTGGATGTGGGTATGGGTCTCAACGAAGAGAAGTTCAACAATCACATTCATAACCCTAAAAATAGAGAATTCGATACCGCATCTTTAAAAAAACAAGGCTTTATTATTTATCTTTGTTGACAAGTCGGCAAAATAAAACGTATACACATTTTGAAGCGTACAATAGTTAGCTATAATGTGCTTTCAGATACCGTTTTTTTTCTGCGAAATAAAAATCTGATTGCTTCAAGATTATTGAGTTATTTGCTATCGATATGTAAACATGTGAAACATTCTGAAAGTATAGTTAACCGAAAACAGATGTGTTTTTTCTGTCAATTCACAATTTAATAAATGAAGTCTATAGAATGCATGTTGATAGATATAGGTTCGAGCTAGTTATTAGTATACAGACGGTCAATTTCATTTTTACGTTCAATCTGAATACGAGTAAAACATGAATGAAGCTGACGTAAGTTATTAATATCAATCGTGTTTACTCGACTATGAAATAAGATATCACAATCGAATCGATGAAGATAAGTCAAACATTGATTTAGAATACGAATAAAGCGAATGTTTTCTAGGTTGAGATTGAATTTCTCTATATTCCAAATAAATCGTTGCAAGACAAGTCGTTGTAGATTAGGTACACAAATGAGGAATTGTTCAAACATATCAAACGACCAGTCACTAGTATTGAGACGAAGTTGAAGATGTTTAAGATTTGTATGATGAAAAGTTGTTAACGAATTCCTATCTATAAATGAAACAGTTAAATGAAGACGCACCAAATTTGGACAAGCAATAAGAAGAGCCGAATAAATATGTAAATTATTTGAAATGATAATATTTATTGAACGAAGTGATATTGAACCTGCCCATGAATTGAATTTTATAGAATTACTAAAATCGAATTCATTCAATATACATAATTTACGAAGAGAACTAAATTTATTGGAAAATAATGTTTCCAAAAATTGAGTTGATGTCTTTGCTAACATATTTGGTGATAGTTCCATTCGTAGATGAACAATATTCGATAAAATAAAATTTGATTGTATGTCAGACAAATGTTTATTGGATGCATGTTGAAATGATAATGAGCGTAAATTAGGAAAATCAGTGAAAGAACTTGTACATGAATAAGATACAGCGATGCTGTATATTTGATCTTTAAAAAAATGAAGCATTTGATCAGTTGATGATGAAGTTGATGCAGATAGTTGTATTGATTTTAGAATAAAATTGATACGTTGATTTAGACCAACCCAACCATATTTCAAATCAGAAATCGAAATATACTGTTCAAATAGATCGAATAGTAATTCATTGGGGAAATCTTCGAGACGAGTAAATCGATGATGGCTATTGTTACTCATTTTGATGGTTGACAGATCTAAATAAATAAAAACATGTACTTTAAATAGAATAATTCATGAGGATGTGAGTGTGAGTATAGCTGTTGATTTTACCGGCATTCATGCTCAACTTGGCTTGGCTACACATCTCTGACCTTGAAGGGAATCTCAAAATTTCATAAGAGTCCGATTCATCTACTGAAATTTGTATTATTGCACTATATCGTATCTCAAAATCAGGAATGTAGTCACATAGGTTGTTGTTTCTAAGAATGGATGAAATCTTCAGGAAGATTAGTGCTTATGCTATTCAGCAAATGTGTAAATTTAGCATTGTGAAAATTTAGATAATCTATCTTATGCTCCACAGATCACAGATTTATTTCCGGATTCATTGCGTTCAAAATTATGACCGATTTGTAACGAAGGTAGCTGGTTGCGATTGCTCACCAAAATGCGCTGCAACATGTGATGCGACACAATGGATGTTTCTGATGATGATTCGATCATCTAAAACGCAATCACAGTGTATCTATCATCTATAAGATGCAGTCTGTTTTGACCATAAATCCCAATACAATATCAACATAATGTAAAATGTTTTACTTTCTAGCTGGAATAGAAACTCAAATGAGTAAGACAAAGTTGCTGAAGAAAATGATTAATGATAACAGGTCTCACAAATCGCGCCAGACCATTTACAATGTCTTGATCTATGTAGAAGCATAACTAGAAGCAAGTTGTAGAAGACTCCGTCATCTGACCATGCCATTTGAGGAAGCAAATGTCCCTTTGCTCACTATATCTACAGGAGGCGCAAATCCTTTTACAGCATGACCTGACGGTTTGTAGCGAAGCTCAAACACTTCTATGAAAGGAAAGGACAGGACAGTGGCAGTTGAGTCCTCTAACCCCTTGTATTATACGTCACTAACAGGAAAAAGAAGGACTGTCATTTGTCGGAAAATTTCGATTATAGTTTAAGAATATGACAGAGTAATTTACGGATAGTAGTTGACATCGTCCATGTCCTTGACTGCTGTCAGTCTTGTTTGATATTCGAGTCTGCTAAAAGTAAGGAGGGAAAGAACGAGTATAATTGAACAATTATTTTGATTTCAGTGCGTATCGAATTCCTACTTGCATATATAAAAACGTGTGACAATGGATACATTGTTCCAGTTGACAAGATATCGCAATAAAGTAGTTCTTTGTCTTCCTTAAGATTCATCAAAATAGAAATGAAAACGAACGCTTAGCTAGCGCTTGAAAAGCTCAAAAGAGTGGTACGTTTAAATGCCCCAAGACAAACAAAACGGACTTCACATACCTAAATCTTATGATACATTTGATAGCCTAGTGGATTGAAGCATGATTACCTTTTAGATGCTGAGGGTATGAGTGCGGCCATACGAGAAGTAAAATTTCACACCCACACCTTTTTTAAAGTGTATGGCACGTTTAAAAATATAATTGATTATTTCGCGGAATGTCTGTTAAATAAATTGAAAATCAAGTATAGTCACCTACCATATGCTATTGAAATGTATGAGTTTTATTTTATATGTGTTTGTAACTAGCTGTGCCACATATTGGTTGATAATGAAATGGTTTGTTTTTTTTTCCAATTTATATTTCTTTGCGCGCATCAATGTCATATGACGCTTTCATAAGAAATGTAATTTTTTTCTTAAGAATACATTTGTTATTGCACGTGTTCGTTTTTTTCACCGTGTTCTCCCCTATACGTTTTATTCTTCCTTTGCATTACATATCATTATAAAAACAAAACTTACCTACTTATGTTCTCACATACCAACGTATTCAAGTTGGAAGTCGACATTTTTCCGTCATAGAGAAAAAGCGAACCAATAAGCTTTTGGGTGTGGGTGTGGGATGATAATGGGTGTGGGTGTGGGATGATAATGGGTGTGGGCGTGGGTGTGGGATGATAATGGGTGTGGGTGTATGGGGTGTGGCGAAGGAAGACACTCAGATCCATACGTACTCACGCCCAGAAAACAATGTTCTATGATGTGATCAAGTAAACAAATTGTTTTTTAGATGAAAAAGTACGATTTATCAAACATCATCTTGGTATAATGTCATCATTTCATCCAAGAGAGGAATGTCAAGAAGTACGTGACTTTGTTCTACATTAGTTAAGGCCACCCCCCCTCATAAAAAGTCAGTTTTCGTCAGAATGGTCAAAGTTGAGATAAATGCATGGGAAGATAGCCCGTCATCTGCTCTTTCATAAACGATAATTTGTTTTTCTCGTTACTTCATTTTTTCCAAAAAATTTTCAAGATTTTCGTCAACCCCTATGCGAAAAACCAGCTGTTTTTTGAAAAATCAAAAAATGTTTTGCGTTTTTTCTCAGTTTCCACTTTCTCAAAAAGGCATCCCAAATTTCTCCTTCTCGATTCGTTCAACGTATTAAAATTTTTTTTTTGCTTGAAAGAGCATCTCAAGGCGCAGGGCATGACCGGGCCCTTTTTTTGAATTAAGCCTTTGTTTGGTTAATATACAGCCATTTATATGATTTTGCTACCATTTTTTGATACTTTTTTGAGACATTGAACTTGTGATCCATTTTTTGCGCTTAAAAAAAGGACTGTTTAAAAAAAGCGGCCTCGTCATGCCCTGGGCCTTGAGATGCTCTTTCCAACAAAAAAAAAATATTAATATATTGACCGAATCAGGACCGAAAAATTTGGGATGCCAAATGAGTCATTTTTGACCCTTTTTTGGTTCATATCTCCCTGAAAGCTGAAGCTTTTGGGCTGAAAATTTTATGGTAGTCTTCTGTTTCCAACCCCAACATATCCTGAAAGTTTCATCTAATTCGGACGTTCCTGGGCTGAAATAGATTTTTGAGGAGGGGGGCGGCCTTAAAAGATTATGGAATTTTACTAACATGTCTATTTTCATTAAATAGTCGTGATCTTATTGTAACAGAAATCATTAATCAATTATGGACATGTAAAAAAAACAGTTAATCAACTATATTCAACTATTAATCCTCAATGTCATAATTCTAATATTCCGATAGATAAAATAACAATACGAGTACACACAAGGAACAAATATAAATTATGAAAATGGTAATAGAAATTTTCATCGACAAATAAAGATCATCGTTATTCAAAAAATGAAAAAAAATTATTTTATTTTTCTGTGGTATATTTGTATTATATTAAATTATATTGAAATCTCAGGACGATTAAAATTTTCTATCTATGCAACTTCCTTTGATGTCTATTATACGTTGCCTTTATCTCTTGTTTTTTTTTCTTTTTGTATGTTTAAATTAGATGATATGCTCTTTCCTTTCTGAATAAGTCAATAAAGAAATGGTGTCAATTATTCTTCATGCATCACTATTTCATTAGAACAGGATCAGCTGGATTCCAATGAGAATGATTGTTATATTACACATGTGTAACGTTGAATCAAAATATGTCCTAACAGGCACCTGTTGGTAACATCAGTCAATTATACACAATTGTTCTTTTAATTTAGATTAGTTCTTAGTATATGTAAATACGATGCATGATTTTAAATGCCTCGAAAGTAGACAATGGTAAAACCATATAAAAAAAGGACTAGATAACTACTTTCCTATGTGCGGTTGTCGTATTAACTTTTTACATGTCTATAGTAAACCACCATGTATTACATTTATCTTATCAATTGTGGCCTCCACGCATCTAATGCATAGCAGTCCTTATGGTGGTTATATTAGAGTTATTCGTTGTGTTTGATTTCACAATAATGAATCTAAGAGATAAATACACTTTATTATTCTAACTGGTGTTTTGTTTGAAATATTTCGGATGACGAGACTATTTAACAGTTGTTTTAATCCATCATTCAACTACATTCAATTATATTCTTTTTAACAAATATTAATGCTTCTGTTCTATCTTTGATAATAGTTTTATTAAAACAAATATCTTCAATGTTGATATTGTTTATCTATGTGCACTTTCATTTTTTTTTCTGTTCTCCACTTTACTTTTTCTCTTCAACTATATACACGATAAAACACAAAAAAAAAAGATATTGTCAGTCACTGGACTCTTTTTGTCCTAAACTTTCGAATGATGCGTTATACATATCATATCATAATAGTCTTCAGTCATTTAAATATTGACTTCAATTTAGATATAGTAGTCGCATAAAAGTTCTGCTACCAGGTAAAAAAAATTATTTAGTCTTATAGTTTGACCATGTTCAATTGGATTTGATCGATCTTCATGCGTAGGAGTTAGAAGGTCGAGATAATTTGTCTTTTCAAACGAAGATATCGCAATATAGAAAACAAATTTCATGACGTTCGACAGGCCAGTGTTATCTCTATTACGCTTCATCATAAATTCTTTGCCCTGAGGTTTATTTAACTTCATATACTGCTTGCACTCAGAGCTTACTTAGTGTCTATTTCCAGACCAAATGATTACTTTGAGAAAACCTTATTTTTTTGTTGTTTAAAAAGCAATAGAAAAAAAATCTATTTGTATATTTAGATTTTCTTTAATAAAATGTCAACTTTATATCGAAATCCATATTTTTCTTTGAATGAAAATCATAATCAAACAAATGGATTCATTAATTCAAAAACTCTTCCTATATCAAGTCGGAGTGATATGAAACATGCACGTCGTATTATAGTTAAACTTGGTACAGCATTAATAACACGTGAAAATGAAGATGGTCTAGCCATAGGACGTTTAGCATCAACTGTTGAACAAGTATCACAATTACAAAATGAAGGTCGTCAAATGTTATTAGTTACGAGTGGTGCAGTTGCATTTGGTCGACAAGTTCTTCGAAAAGAAGCTATGATGACAATGACAATGAGAAAATCACTTTCACCAAAAGATATTTTAGAAAATAGTCGTGTAGCTATTCAAAGACAAGCATGTGCTGCTTTTGGACAAAAAGGTCTTATGTCATTTTATGAACGAATGTTTCAACAATATAATATTGGTGTTGCACAAGTTCTTGTTACAAAA